GGGTCTGTCGGAGGTTTCTTCCGTTAAAGGGAGTTTTTCCTCCCCACTGTCGCCAAGTGCTTGCTCAAGGGGGATTTGTTGGGTTTTCCCTATGTAATAATATTGATAACAGTAAGGTCTAGACCTTACTTTGTAAAGTGTCCTGAGATGACTTTTGTTGTGATTTGGCACTATACAAATAAAATTTGATTTGATTTGATTTAATACAACTCATTCAGAGCTGTGCTCACACCTTAAAGAACTACAGGCTGTGTTTGGTTCCAGGGGGTCCATGGATCCTTTAAGTCCAACAGGTCCAGAATCTGCTGCTCACATTTAAGGCCTCAGTGGGTCCACGGATCCTTTAAGTCCAACAGGTCCAGAATCTGCTGCTCAAATTTAAGGCCTTCTTCTGATGTAACACTGCACTTGACTGCTTCAGTAGCAGCCTCATGACCTGGTCACATGGATCTGTGCGACTCTGGGACTCCACACCAGTCGGTCAGAACTGAAGGAGCTTCTAGGATGAGAGCTGAAACCTCTTCAAGGATCGGCACAAGTCCAGGGACCAACTCCAGCTCTTTGGATCCACCATGACCTGGCTGACACCTGGCTGACTGAGGGTCTCCACAGACACAGCTTTTTGTCAGTCGAGTCAGTATCCAGCCGCCCTGTAGCCCCGCCCTGTGTGAACCGGCCTCTCACAGCTTTATATTATACGGTATATTATATATTATATTATGCGTGTGTGTGGGGCGGACGCATGGTGAAGAGGCTGGTAGTGATGTGTCCCGGAGACTATCAGTGGTCACGATGTGAAGATAAATCCATAGTCGTGCCGAGGAAGAGTGGGGGTTGGGGCAGAGAAAGTGTTGGTCCACAGTGAGACTCTTTCTCCAGGGACCACCTCTGTTAGTCCCTCACAAACCTCCGACCCCGTGGATCCTGTCAGAGCGGTTTCAGCTTAACAACCCGACACACTGACTGGTTTCTGGTTTGTGGCTGCAGACAGGGTTCCGACCCCTTCGCTTTCTGACACTTTATTGTGTTGTGAAAATGGATCAAACTGCCATTTTTACATCAGCACTAAATAACTCACAACTATAAAGTTAAACATGTTTTTAAAAATGTTTGCTGATTCATTAAAAACCACAGACTGAGGTCTGTTCTGTCCAAAAGTCTTCTGAGCCTTTGCTGTGGCTCCAAACTGTGCTCAGCTGCTTCCTGTTTGCTTCGTCCTCATTGACCAGACTGGATCCGCCTGTGGCAAACTGGGCCGAATGGACAGAGTTTGGAAAGACACACACCAGGCTCTGCTCTTCACCTGCTAATGTAACCGGTCGCCTTTGGGTCTCTAAACTGTCCTCTTAATCCTCGCCTGTCCCTCTGGTGACTGGCCGTGCTGCGTTGTGTTAGCTTTGGGACACATGGACCGACACAGTTGCTATTCACGGGGCCCTTTATTGCTGGTCACAGAAGAAAAATACATACAACAGTTAGCCTCCAGTGAATGCTCAGCTCGCTCCTCTTACCACTCGACACCGTGACGGAAAGAGAGCGGGAGATGCGCAGGGTAATAACATACAAACTATAATACATATCTTGGACATACCTGGTCACAGAAGAAAAATACATACAACAGTTAGCCTCCAGTGAATGCTCAGCTCGCTCCTAAACAAAAACACACAACAAGTTTACCCATGCGACCCAAGGTGGGCGATAAAAGTAAAATAGTCGTAAATGGATGGAGCGCTCACCTCTTACCACTCGACACCCTAACGGAAAGAGAGCGGGAGAGGTGCGCGACCCCTATTTATATCCGGCTACCAACGAAGAAAAGCATGGCTCAGTTGCGAGTCCTAGTGGAGTGGAGGCTTCCCTGACCAGGCATGTCAATTAACTTACACATGAACCAAAACATTTTGTGTAATTATTATACCCCGGTTACACTAACACCGTCCCTACAGTGAAGCATGGTGGGGGCAGCGTCCTGATTTGGGGGGGCTTCTCAGTTGCAGGGACAGGGAGACCGGTCAGAACTGAGGGATGGATGAATGCAACTGGACACAGAGAGGTCCTGACTTAGAGCCCAGAGAACATCTGTGCAGAGCCCCAGAGTTCACAGAACACTTCCTATCCAGTCTGATGGAGCCTGAGAGGATCTGCAGGAAGAATGGAACCAACTAGCCAAATCCAGGTGTGCACAGCTGGTAGAGACTCAGCTGAGAAGCCTGGAGCTACACCTGCTGCCAAAGGGGGTCCTACAGAGTCCTGGGTTAAGGCTCTGGGTATTTTTGTACATGAGAGCTCAGCTGTGGTTTTTCTCATTTGCACCAGTGTCACCATGTTTTCACTATGTTCCTCTGGGTTATTGAGTGTAGACTAATTGGCAGCAGTGGAAATGTCCACAGGTTTCTTTGTATCAGCTGACAGTGAATCCACAGGACAGTGAAGGGATGTGAACAAGATGGGGTCCTGAAGCCACTGGAATAGAAATCAACCAGCTATGACAAGAAACCACAAACAGACTTGTACCAGAGACCTGCGCTCATTTACTTTAATCCGCTGCATTTATGTGACAGCTGGACTCGCTGGTTCCTTATCACATTCACAGCAATAACACAACATCCCACAACAAATCAGGGGCCCGTTTCAAGAAGCAGGTTTAACAAACTCAGAGTTCAGGTTTGAACTCTGAGTTGACTTACACAGAGTTGGAAAACTTGAAGTTTTCGGTTTCAGAACAGCTGAAAAGAGTTGGTTTAATCAACTCT